TTGATTCAGTGAGATAGATAAAGGCTTTTTCCACTGTCTCCAAAACAAAACTATGGATACCCAAGTGTTACACATATCTTATTCACCAATTTGTTTATTTAGTGTACCATGAATCTAATAATTTTTTTTCATATAAACTTGACAACATCATCTTAAGATAAAGCTCCCCACTCAGTAATACTTTAGTACAAAAAATAAAAACATCAGCTTTGCTAAAGATGCTTTTTTAGATTGAAAGTTTTAAGAATTAAAGACTCCCAAAAGAGTAATTGTAACATTTGTCAATGAATTTTTAATGTTCTTTTGGGAGGGTAAGACTTTCATACACCAGATAATGTGCAAGTAAAGAAAACAGAATAAGGGAAAATGAAGAGACATGTAGGCATGAGTAATGTGAAAGCTAAAGATTAGGAAACAACAATATTGAAACATTGATGTAAAGAGAGGAGGAGCAGAGTGGTAACTGGCACTTAAGTGAGTGTAGTTATAGACAGCAATCCTCACTGGAGAAAAAAAACTACCTTCATATAAGCCCAGTTGGTAACTCTTCTATGGAGAATGGGAGAAACTGGTGTATCAGTGGATTCAATAAGTTTAAACGGTCACTGACTAAAAGAGATTTATTGGCAGTGAGAGTGCTAAGAATAAGTCTCTTTGCACAAATTACATAAATTCTTCTTAAGGACTTTAACAAAATACATTTATTTTTTCCTTTTACATACCATGTACTTTGCAAGGTATGTAAATAGTTTTGGTGTCATTAAAAAAAATATTATGTACTGTTTATTCTCACGAGCATATCTGTCAATCCATAAGCTAAAATTTTTGAAAATCTAATTTAAAAAGAGTATGACATTTTTGATATCTCTTACAATCAGCACTGCTAGTCCCAGTGGCCACCTAAAATTCTTAAGGAAGCCTTTGTAGATCCATGGGCTGTCAATTTTGTCTCTTTTCCTTGCCTTTGTTAAAATATATTTCTAATAATAATGATAATATTATTATTAATAATAATAATAATAATAACAACAGGTGTATCGAATAAGTAGTAAGCTACTAAATGCTGTGAACAGTTTTTATGAGGATAGTGAGGCTCAGGTTAGGGTGTGTAGGAGAGAGGGAGATTACTTCCCAGTAAAAGTAGTTCTTAAACAGGGATGTGTAATGTCACCATAGTTGTTTAATATATTTATAGATGAGGTTGTAAAACAAGTAAATGGGGAGAGGGTTGGGATTAAATTATGGGGAAACAAATACAAAATGGGAGTAGACAGTTACTTTTTGCTGATGATACTGTGCTTTTGGGAGATTCTAAAGAAAACTTGCAAAGGTTAGTGGATGAGTTTCGGAGTGTGTGTAAAGGCAGAAAGTTGAAAGTGAGCATAGATAAGAGTAAGGTGATGAGGGTATCAAACGATTTAGATAAAGAAAAATTGGATATCACATTGGAGAGAGGGAGTAAGGAAGAAATGAATGTTTTCAGATATTTGGGAGTTAACTTGTCAGAAGATGAGGTTAACCATAGAATGGTGCGTTGCGGTATCTTTATTATTTTTTTTTATTAGCACACTGGCCGATTCCCACCAAGGTAGGGTGGCCTGAAAAAGAAAAACTTTCACCATCATTCACTCCATCACTGTCTTGCCAGAAGGGGTGCTCTACACTACAGTTTTTAAACTGCAACATTAACACTCCTCCTTCAGAGTGCAGGCACTGTACTTCCCATCTCCAGGACTCAAGTCCGGCCTGCCGGTTTCCCTGAATCCCTTCATAAATGTTACTTTGCTCACACTCCAACAGCATGTCAAATATTAAAAACCATTTGTCTCCATTCACTCCTATCAAACACGCTCATGCATGCCTGCTGGAAGTCCAATGCCCTCGCACACAAAACCTCCTTTACCCCCTCCCTCCAACCTTTCCTAGGCTGACCCCTACCCCGCCTTCCTTCCACTACAGACTGATACACTCTTGAAGTCATTCTGTTTCGCTCCATTCTCTCTACATGTCCGAACCGCCTCAACAACCCTTCCTCAGCCCTCTGGACAACAGTTTTGGCAATCCCGCACCTCCTCCTAACTTCCAAACTACGAATTCTCTGCATTATATTCACACCACACATTGCCCTCAGACATGACATCTCCACTGCCTCCAGCCTTCTCCTTGCTGCAACACTCATCACCCATGCTTCACACCCATATAAGAGCGTTGGTAAAACTATACTCTCATACATTCCCCTCTTTGCCTCCAAGGACAAAGTTCTTTGTCTCCACAGACTCCTAAGTGCACTGCTCACCCTTTTCCCCTCATCAATTCTATGATTCACCTCATCTTTCTTAGACCCATCCACTGACACGTCCACTTCCAAATATCTGAATACATTCACCTCCTCCATACTCTCTCCCTCCAATCTGATATCCAGTCTTTCATCACCTAATCTTTTTGTTATCCTCATAACCTTACTCTTTCCTGTATTCACTTTTAATTTTCTTCTTTTACATACCCTACCAAATTCATCCACCAACCTCTGCATCTTCTCTTCAGAATCTCCCAAGAGCACAGTGTCATCAGCAAAGAGCAACTGTGACAACTCCCACTTTATGTGTGATTCTTTATCTTTTAACTCCACGCCTCTTGCCAAGACCCTCGCATTTACTTCTCTTACTACCCCATCTATAAATATATTAAACAACCATGGTGACATCACACATCCCTGTCTAAGGCCTACTTTTACTGGGAAATAATCTCCCTCTTTCCTACATACTCTAACTTGAGCCTCACTATCCTCGTAAAAACTCTTCACTGCTTTCAGTAACCTACCTCCTATACCATACACCTGCAACATCTGCCACATTGCCCCCCTATCCACCCTGTCATACGCCTTTTCCAAATCCATAAATGCCACAAAAACCTCTTTAGCCTTAACTAAATACTGTTCACTTATATGTTTCACTGTAAACACCTGGTCCACACATCCCCTACTTTTCCTAAAGCCTCCTTGTTCATCTGCTATCCTATTCTCCATCTTACTCTTAATTCTTTCAATAATAACTCTACCATACACTTTACCAGGTATACTCAACAGACTTATCCCCCTATAATTTTTGCACTCTCTTTTGTCCTCTTTGCCTTTATACAAAGGAACTATGCATGCTCTCTGCCAATCCCTAGGTACCTTACCCTCTTCCATACATTTATTAAATAATAGCACCAACCACTCCAAAACTATATCCTCACCTGCTTTTAACATTTCTATCTTTATCCCATCAATCCCAGCTGCCTTACCCCCTTTCATTTTACCTACTGCCTCACGAACTTCCCCCACACTCACAACTGACTCTTCCTCACTCCTACAAGATGTTATTCCTCCTTGTGGTATCTGTGGAGACAAAAACCATTATCCATGGAGGCAAAGAAGGAAATGTATGAAAGTATAGTGGTACCAACACTCTTTTATGGGTGTGAAGCTTGGGTTATAAATGCTGTGGCGAGGAGGTGGCTGAAGGCAGTGAAGATATCGTGTCTAAGGGCATTGTGTGGTGTAAATATTATGCAGAGAATTTGGAGTGTGGAAATTAGGAGGAGGTGTGGAGTTACTAAAAGTATTAGTCAGAGGACAGAAGAGGGGTTGTTGAGGTGGTTTGGTAATTTAGAAATAATGGATCAAAGTAGAATGACTAGGAGAGCATATAAATCTGTAGGGGAAGGAAGGCAGGATAGGGACCATTCTCGAAAACGTTGGAGGGAGGGGGTAAAGGAATTTTTGTGGGTGAGGGGCTTGAACTTCCAGCAAGCACGAGTGAGCGTGTTAGGAGTGAATGGAGACGGATGGTTTTTGGGACCTGACGAGCTGTTAGTGCGTGAGCAGGGTAATATTTTGTGAAGGGATTCAGGGAAATTGGTTAGCCAGACTTGAGTCCTGAAAATGGGAAAGTACAATGCCTATACTTTAAAGGAGGGGTTTAGGATATTGGCAGTTTGGAGGGACTTCTAAACTGTCATATCTGAGCATCTCTGCAAAGACATTGATTATGTATGAGTGGTGGTGAAAGTGTTGAATGGTGATGATGAAAGTATTTTCCTTTCTTTCTTTTTGGGTCACCTTTCCTTGGTGGGAAACAGGCGATGTGTTAAAAAAAAAAAATCTTTATTTACTACATGTACAAGGTATACAGGCCTAGGTGACATCAATGACATACTACTATATAGAAAGCCGCTTGTTATGCTCAGAGCATTTCCAATAGATTAGGTAAGTTTTGTCCCAGGATGCGACCCACACTGGTCGCCTAACACCCAGGTGCCCATTTTATATTGATTGGTGAACAGGGACAGCAGGTGTCTTATGGGAAACCCCTAATCTTTTCCGGCCTTACCGGAGATCTGATCTCCGGACCTCAGTGTGTGAGCTGAATGCGCTAGCGATCAAGCTACGGTACATATACTGGATTTTTCTCACTTGGCACTGTACTATACTTCTGCTCGTCCCATTTTTCCAGACATTACCTTGAAAATCTGCCGATTTATTTTTTTGGATTCTGTTACATTATTTATACTGTCACTGCAGATGTATACTGCTATGACTAAGTGCACATATATAGTTTTGTATACTATTAAGTCTTGGTAATATGTACCATTTTTTAAAATATGCTTTTGAAACAAATATTCTGTGAATTGCATAAAGTAAAAAAATTATTAGGGCATTGCATAAAAAATATCTGCGGGAATAAAATTTAAATGCCCATATCTGCTTTGGTCTTGGTGTATACCAAATTAATTAACACACTATTGATTACTTTACATAATGGTATATAAGGGACATGCCTGTGGCTTCTTTGATTCTAATCAATTTGGTGAGGTTTCGTTCATTTCATCATAGTTAATACTGCATATATCACATCACTATTTTCAAAACATTAAAGAATGTAGAGTAACTTGCATGAATTAAATTTTTTGTTCTGAATAAGTCACCAGGTTTTTTAAGCAAGTTTCTGTCACAACAGCAAGAGGGTGGAGATGGTGACCCTCCTCACACACCCGTTAAAAAAATTGATTCAAGAACAAGCCAGGGAGATGGCTCATTAAATGTTGGGGAAGACGGACCAAACAAGCTCTCCAAAACCAAGAGTAATGGTGAAGTTCCAGACACCACAATGACAGCACACGAGAGCACTCCCATAGGATCACGTATGTCTTTTCCGGGTATATTCTCAGTGCTCATACATTCTTTTGCTCGGTATATATATATAATTTAATGAGCCATGGAAGATCATTATGGTGTGATGTAAATGGTATAGAAAACCGACATTTGAAGAATGAGACATTTGTGCAACATTTGGGAATCTTTATTGAGGAAATGTGTCCTCAATAAAGATTCCCAGATGTTGCACAAGTGTCTGATTCTTCGATTATTATAGCATTTAATCTCCAGGCACCAGCTTATTCATATAAATCTGTTTTGTATGTATACAATAAGTTAATATGCAATAAGCAGTTTAACCAATTTAATTATAATTTCTGCTAGAGGTGAACCCTATCTTATAAAAGTAAAAAGTAATTAAATTCCAAATGCATGTAGGATCTCTCACTCAGTCACAAGAAAATCAAAATTCTCACCTATTCCATGAGTATGTGATGGATCACAAGAATGCTTGGAATTTAATTGCCTTTCACTATGGTTAAATTTCATATTAAAATAATTTAAATATATTTTATTTCTAGTGATCTTATTGCATCAATATGTACATGTATATTTGCCTAAATGTAATTACTTATTTGCAGGGGAATTAACAAGGGAAGGCTAAAGCCTCCCAAAAATTCCATCAGCCCTCCCAAAGTGCCCCAAAATAAAAATAATAATAATGCTGCTTCAAGATGAGTTTCCCAGCTTCCTCTTTCAACCTTCTTGCCACATCCCAAGTTCCTCCTATATAGAACTTCTGGAGTCACTGCTTATTTATAATCACAGAAGTAGAGCTACGCTCATGGTGTCCCAGTTGTAGTCTTAGTTTGTTATATAATTTCTTATATATTCCAGATAGAAATGTTAAAAGCAGGTGGGGATATAGTTTTGGAGCGGTTGGTGCAATTATTTAATAAATGTATGGAAGAGGGTAAGGTACCTAGGGATTGGCAGAGAGCATGCATAGTTCCTTTGTATAAAGGCAAAGGGGACAAAAGAGAGTGCAAAAATTATAGGGGGATAAGTCTGTTGAGTATACCTAGTAAAGTGTATGGTAGTTATTATTGAAAGAATTAAGAGTAAGACGGAGAATAGGATAGCAGATGAACAAGGAGGCTTTAGGAAAGGTAGGGGTGTGTGGACCAGGTGTTTACAGTGAAACATATAAGTGAACAGTATTTAGATAAGGCTAAAGAGGTCTTTGTGGCATTTATGGATTTGGAAAAGGCGTATGACAGGGTGGATAGGGGGGCAATGTGGCAGATGTTGCAGGTGTATGGTGTAGGAGGTAGGTTACTGAAAGCAGTGAAGAGTTTTTACGAGGATAGTGAGGCTCAAGTTAGAGTATGTAGGAAAGAGGGAAATTATTTCCCAGTAAAAGTAGGCCTTAGACAAGGATGTGTGATGTCACCGTGGTTGTTTAATATATTTATAGATGGGGTTGTAAGAGAAGTAAATGCGAGGGTCTTGGCAAGAGGCGTGTAGTTAAAAGATAAAGAATCACACATAAAGTGGGAGTTGTCACAGTTGCTCTTTGCTGATGACACTGTGCTCTTGGGAGATTCTGAAGAGAAGTTGCAGAGATTGGTGGATGAATTTGGTAGGGTGTGCAAAAGAAGAAAATTAAAAGTGAATACAGGAAAGAGTAAGGTTATGAGGATAAAAAGATTAGGTGATGAAAGATTGGATATCAGATTGGAGGGAGAGAGTATGGAGGAGGTGAATATATTCAGATATTTGGGAGTGGACGTGTCAGCAGATGGGTCTATGAAAGATGAGGTGAATCATAGAATTGATGAGGGGAAAAGGGTGAGTGGTGCACTTAGGAGTCTGTGGAGACAAAGAACTTTGTCCTTGAAGGCAAAGAGGAGAATGTATAAGAGTATAGTTTTACCAACGCTCTTACATGGGTGCGAAGCATGGGTGATGAATGATGCAGCGAGGAGAAGGCTGGAGGCAGTGGAGATGTCATGTCTGAGGGCAATGTGTGGTGTGAATATAATGCAGAGAATTCGTAGTTTGGAAGTTAGGAGGAGGTGCGGGATTACCAAAACTGTTGTCCAGAGGGCTGAGGAAGGGTTGTTGAGGTGGTTCGGACATGTAGAGAGAATGGAGCGAAACAGTGACTTCAAGAGTGTATCAGTCTGTAGTGGAAGGAAGGCGGGGCAGGGGTCGGCCTAGGAAAGGTTGGAGGGAGGGGGTAAAGGAGGTTTTGTGTGCGAGGGGCTTGGACTTCCAGCAGGCATGCGTGAGCGTGTTTGATAGGAGTGAATGGAGACAAATGGTTTTTAATACTTGACGTGCTGTTGGAGTGTGAGCAAAGTAACATTTATGAAGGGGTTCAGGGAAACTGGCAGGCCGGACTTGAGTCCTGGAGATGGGAAGTACAGTGCCTGCACTCTGAAGGAGGGGTGTTAATGTTGCAGTTTAAAAACAGTAGTATATAGAACCTTTCTGGCAAGAGAGTGATGGAGTGAATGATGGTGAAAGTTTTTCTTTTTCGGGCCACCCTGCCTTGGTGGGAATCGGCCAGTGTGATAATAATAATAAAAAAATATATTCCAGGGGTTATAGCATTGCTACATCCTCTGAATCAGATGACAGCACTTTACCACATTACTTACGAACATACACTACTCTATTGCCATTGCACCACTGCTTTTTCCGTTTTCAGTTGTCTGTCGCTTCTCCATGTTGATGGCCCTATATCAGTCTATATATTTTGTTGCATTCTTTGGGACAGGTAGTGAGAAATATACTTAAGCTTGCAGTGGAACCTTTATTATTGGACTTGACTGAGTATATTTTAAGTCCAGTCCAGGACAAAATGTCATGATAAAGGAGTCACTGTATACAGTGTCTTTCTCACTAATTGTCAGCTTACATCATTCAACCACATGTCTGTGGACTCTTTTTACTTGATCTACATTGTTTTATAGTAGGATAGATAATGGTATAAGCTGACTAAGTAGTAGTTCAAAGACATTTTAAACAGTGGGACTTCATCAAATGCTTGATGAGGCCTAACTGTGGGTTAAACATTAACTAAAAATTTCCCCACAAAAAGAAAAAAGTCCTTGAATTACTACTACATTTTTATGCTGACCTTAAATTACTGCTGCATATTATGTATGATGTCATTTTTTACCATTTCATTATTCATATAATGAATTTTTTTGCTGTGATGGAAGATAGCTTCTCAGGAGCAGGGATAGCTGGCCCTCCTTCTATGGTTTCTTCTCTCCATGACAATATACATCACTCGCTGGGGTTAAACGGCATACTAGCCACCCCATCATGCATGCTAATGGCACATTAAATAGTATGTATCAAAGCACCATGGGGCTAAATGGCACCAAGGCCACCCCAGGAGCTGATACTTAGGTAGAGCTAAATGGCTATATGGCCATCATATTGTTACATTATTTTCATTCAGAAGCAGTAAGCCCACAGGCATCATACAGTATAAGAGGTAATTAGGCTTGATCCAAGGAAGGGAAGGTTGGCTCCAATTCCTTATATGATGAATAAGACACCTTTGGGTATCTTTGTCAAAGAAATTTTTCACCTGTACAGTAGGCTTCTTCTATTGAATACAGGTTCAAAATTAAATCAAAACTATTTCTTTTCTAAGGTTAAAATATGTGTTTACATTTCATAATTTGATTGGTACAAAGGAAGCCACTATCACGCCGAGGCATTTCGGGCAGACTTAACCTACTACTTAAAGACTACTTAAGTCTAGACAGGTGAAGAGTGGTAGATTACAAATATTCAATATTTTACTCTATTATTAATACGAGGTAGTACAATTATTGATAGAAACATACATTTTTAAGCTTGTAATAATGGTTTAATAGTTAAGGGGTAATGAACTATAAGGGAGAGTTGCCTTAAATTTGGTTAGTTTAGCATAGTTTGGGTATGGTTGTTATTGAGAGATGAGGTGATTTTTGAGTACAGTCCTAAATTGATTTGTGGGCAGGGGACCTCTTGCTGTTTCGTGCAAAGAGTTCCAGATCTTTGGGCCCTTTATGTGCATTGCATTTTTGCATAGCGTGAGACGGACACAAGGGATGTCAAAAAGTGTTTTGTGCCTCATGTTATGCCTGTGTGTTCTGTTGAAGCTTTCTAGAAGTTTAAGTGGAGGGTTGATATTGGAGTTTAATGTTCTGTATATATAGTAGGCACAATAATAAGTGTGTATATTTTGTATATTAAGTAAGATCAAGCTTTTGAAAAGTGGTGGGGTGTGTTGTCTTGTGCAGGAGAGTGTGATCATCTGTACTGCCACTTTTTGTTGGGTTTTTAAAGGTTTAAGGTGATTAGCCATAGTTAATGTAACAATGGAGATGGTAATAGTAGTAGTTTTCATATGATCAGTCCATCAGTTTTCATAAGTCAGCCCCTCAGTCCATCAAAGCTGATCACATAAAAATTACTTCAACTGTCTCCAGTGTTATATTCACTTTTATTTGACTGAGGAAACCTTTTGCACAGGTGAAACTTCTCTGGAATAAAGATACCTCAGGTTCCTTGTATCAAGAGCCCTTCACCAGAACTTCACCTCCAAGTTTTTGTACAATTTGAGTTACATGATGTGATGATAATTTGCTATTTACAGTTGCTCTCAAGTTGGCTTAAGTTGCTCACTCATGCCAGGATACATACATTGTGAATGCTCTCATGAATGTAACATTGTTTCTCAATCCATAACAGGATTTGAACCTGTGCACTCTGAATCAAAGAACACAGTACTTTTGCCACACAGCCAAACCCCTGGCTGTACTCAATTGTACTCGCCTGATTGTGGTTGCAGGGGTCGAGACTCGGCTCCTTGCCCCGCCTCTTCACTGATCACTACTAGGTCCTCTCCTTCCCTGCTCCATGAGCTTTATCATACCCCGTCTTAAAGCTATGTATGGTTCCTGCCTCCACTACATCACTCGCTAGATTATTCCACTTTCTGACAACTCTATGACAAAAGTACTGTGTACTTTGATGCAGTGTGTGCAGGTTCAAATCCTGTTTTGGACTAAGAGATAATGTTTGTAAATAATTTCACTCATTTGTGAATTGTTAAGCATACACGAGTGTGTGTATACATACCCAAGTGTGCATATGCATACACAGAGAGAGACACACACACAAACTATGAATTGACCCCTGCAACCACAAATAGACTAGTGTTTATTACCGAGAGTAATGCATAATAGAATCAATTTAAAAATAAGAATACAGTAAGCTTTCTTATAAATCTCCTCTACATAGTGCAGCTCTTTTTGCTAATGTTATTGAAAAAAGTACATCCAATATTGAAAAGCATATGAAAAAGTCGACAAAGTACGTGCCATTGAATTTTGGAAACACTGTTTTAATCACACTTATGAAAAACAAAAATGTGGAATGTAAAGGATCTTTATAAGCAAGCTTGCTGTAACACATTTACTTTGTTCCATTAGAGTTATGATTTACTTGCAAAAATTGATGCTTGGGGCTTGTCACAGCTGAGGATCCTGGGGCAAGCTGTTGCTTTTATGTTAATCTGTCAATGCTGTTAGTTGTCAAGGTATAACTGTTGGAACACTCCACCAACCTCTGGTGTGTAGCAGCTAACTATTGCACAGGAGTGATTGGTTGCAGAACAAACTTTTATTGGAACAATGTGTCACTCTTAAGTTTTATCAATTATGTTACACTCTGTTCAGAGCTTTATCAAGTCAAATTTCATTGTGTAGAGCTTTGAAGAGTCATGTTCCAATGTGTAAAATGTCAATTTGCCATGTATAAAGCTTAATCAAGCTCTAAACAGAACGAAACATTGTCCCAAAAAAAGCTCGTCTTGCAAGCTGTGATTTTTTTCCTCATTATTGTCGGCAGTACGCCATTTGGATGCAGCTAACTAACGTATGGTGGTGGTGTTGCTCCTCAGGTCGCCAGAACTCTATCTCAGCCAAGGCTCACTTAAACACAAAGACAAGTGAAGAGAAACCTGATCGGGAAAAGGAATGCTCTCTCACTCTTCTAGGTACATGACAGTGAGCTTTTCAGTAGTACTCTAGTGGCATAAGGTGCTATATCTGATTATTTAGCATTATATTTTTGTAGTAATCTAGTGGCATAAGGTGCTATATTTGATTATTTAGCATTGTATTTTAGTAGTACTCTAGTGGTATAAGGTGCTAATTAATTACCTTAGTATCTTTTTTTAAGCAATGGAATAAGCTGTTTTAAAAGCTAATTGTAGTTTTTATAAAGTTTTTATAATTAAGGTTGTATAGTATCTCTTACTTATATGTCATATTTAAGCAAACTTTCTGTCTTAGGTGGCAAAATTAATACATAGTAACAGAACCTGTTATTTTCATATAGTCGGACTTGAGTCCTGGAAATGGGAAGTACAATGCCTGCACTTTAAAGGAGGGGTTTGGGATATTGGCAGTTTGGAGGGATATGTTGTGTATCTTTATACGTATATGCTTCTGAACTGTTGTATTCTGAGCACCTCTGCAAAAGCAGTGATAATGTGTGAGTGTGGTGAAAGTGTTGAATGATGATGAAAGTATTTTCTTTTTGGGGATTTTCTTTCTTTTTTGGGTCACCCTGCCTCGGTGGGAGACGGCCGACTTGTTGAATAAAAAAAAAAAAAAAAATAGAACCTGTTGTAGAATCTTATTAGTGAGAAATGTTTGTCTGTGGTTTATACTTGCATTGCCCCATGTGTTACTTTTCAGCAGTAACTAGTTCTCTTTCATTCATTAACCCTTTCATTGTTGGTCCCATAATACGCCAAAATTCTAGCAACTTCCAGTCTTGCAGGAGAAAGCTGGTAGGTCTGCTTATGAGAGAATGGGTCTGAATGGTCAGTGTGCACAGTATAAAAAAATCTTGCAGCACGCAGTGCATGAAAAAAAAAACTGTGATCCTGTTTTTGGTTTAAAACAGCGACTTTGCAGTGTATTTTCATATGGTGTTTATGGTTGTATTCTCATTTTCGTGGTCTCATTTGATAGAATGAGATATATATTACAGAAATAGAGATGATTTTGAATGGTTTACAGACTAAAAGTAACTTGAAAGTGAGCTCAAGCAGTGGAAATATTAAATTTTTGACGATGTTCAAGGGTAAACAAATCACGTCATGTGTCCTGTACACATCAACTGGTGAGTCTAATGTGTATTCACGAATGTGCTGATTTTATTTATACAATTATTACAATTATACAGTAGTCTGAATAACAGTAAATCTTCTGTTTTCTGTGTGAATAAAAATTCAGAATGGAAAAGCAAGCATAATATAAGAGGGGCCTGGAGACATGACTAATGAAGAGAGAAAATGTTATTTTAGGGCCAGGAATGTTTATTCTGGCCCCTATTTTGAAACTGGCCTTTGTTGAATTTTGTGAGAAACTGGCCAAATTAGTAATTTCTGATCACTTTTTTTGATAGTTGAAGTAGGTAAATTTGTGGTTTCTTATATGCATTTGATAGAATAAAAGGATTTTAGCAAAATAGCCATGAGTTTTGTTGAGTGGAGCAAAGGAATTGGCCCAAAGTGGGCAAAATTGCTGATGCGTCAATATCGCCGAGACCACTAACGTCGCAAGAATGTAATTCTATAAGTTTTCCATCAAATTTCATACTTTTGGTTTCATTACCTTCGGAAAAAGATTATCATTTCATAAGAATTTTTTTTTTTTAAATTCTTTGATACTGTGAGCAAGTTTGCAAGCAGGGGTCTCGACACTCAAAGGGTTAATGTGAATATGTTTAGCTTGAGTAAACCTTCATTATAATGGACTAATAGGGGTGGCCAGATGGTCAATAGATTCTGTAACCAATGGACATAGTCCTTTGTTTCTGAATCTATTGACCCAGGGGATTTTCAGCCATCTTCCTAAAAATTCATTATATAGGAGGTCCATTATATCGAGGTTTTATTAATTCTATATCAACTTTGCTGAAACTTCTCTATACATGAAAAAGAGAGTGCTTTCATTCTGAAGACTGGGTGGGGACACTGTAGTTGGGAGGACTCTTGGTATTGTAACACCAGCATACTGCAGACAAGACAATCACAGTTGGTCCCCACTTATGTTAATGTCCTGAAAATTACTTGCAAGTTGATTGTTTATACAGCCTGGTTGATCAGACCCTGATCCACCACGAGGCCTTTTCTCAGATCGACCCATGGGGGGGGGGGGGGGTTAACCCCTGAAGCCCTCTCCAGGTATACTCCAGTTATTATAACGCAGAACCTATTTTCTTATAGACACCCATGTTATAATGAGAGATGCATTCCTGAACCATATTATTAAATATCTAATTTCATTTATTTTGATAAGTACAATTTAAATTTATGTACACTACTTAAAAGAGTCCCCCTCTCTCTCACCTTTTGTTCCCCCTCCCTTCCTTTTTTAAATTTCCACTGCTGCTCCTTCCCTCCCTATATATAGTGTATCTATCTATCTCTCAATATCTTAATCACTGTCAATCTCAATCTCTCACACACTCTCAATCTCTCCCTCACTCACTTACACACACACAATCTCTCACTCACACTCTCAATCTCTCACCCTCTCAATCTCCCACTTTCACACAACACATACATACACACCTTTTCCTTCCCTACTGTATACCAGCCTCACACTGTATTCCACCACCTTCTGTACTCCATTCCTCACATCATATTTCACTCCTTGCAATGTACTGCACTCATCCACACTATTCTCCCTCACACTGTTCCTCATTGCCCCACACTGTACCTCATTGCCCCACACTGTACTTCACCACTTTCATCAATCCCCAGACCATCCACTCCATCCCCTTCCCATGCCACTCACTGTCATATTATGAGCACACAAGTTTTTTTTTATTTTATTTTACTTAAAAATTACACAACAGGTTCAACTATTCATAGTCTATTTTTCACACTCATAAATCCATAGCTATAATTCATTCAGTATCATTGGCCAAAAATCTTAGGAAATATAGATGAAGGGGAAATATCTCCATTATTTATGCCAAAAGATATGCTGGGTTCTTAGTAAGGTAAGCCCCCTGTGGGTAGAGTGGTACCCCACTCAGAGGTCAATGCCCCAACTCTTAGACACTAACCAGCCAAACCTCATCACATCATGAATGGAGGGGTATAAGGTGCCCAGGCACATGGCGAGGCAGAGGTTACCATGTGCCTGGGTTGGGAGGCTGGGTGGTTGTATGAACAAAGTTATTGCCTTACTCACTTACCACCTACTACACATCCCCAACCATCCAAAAAAAAAAAAAAAAATTTTTTTATATCTACAGTTTTTGACCAATGTTTACCAAAGAACTTTGAGCCAGATACATGAATAGCATAAAACATCAATGAATATGGCAAAAAATAAATGAAAAAAATTTATATAATTTACCATTAACAAAATTGTAATTGTTGAATTACAGTTATTTATCAATCTATATCAAATATACATAAAACTGTCTGCACATGCATAATACTTCAACATTTGAAAAATGCGAATACATTTATTGAAAATACAGTAATATATTTTTTTAATGGATGCAATAACCACCTGGAGCTCAACATTCATAAGTCATTAATTGGTTCTAAAGAGCCATTATCATAAGTGAGGAAAATCTTAAGCTGGGGACCTACTGTATTGATTATACTTGTGCAAATAGTGCTGCATAAATTACAGTACCATGGCTGGAACATTTCACATCTAAAGTAAACAAGATGGTAATTTAATCATATATTTAGCAGGAAAAGCCATTTTGTTTCACCCCCAGTGCAGTGAAATTCATAAAATGAAGGCTTTCCCTGCTAAAGTATCTTTGAATTACCACTTGTATGCTTATGCCACAGTATAATTATGGTTATTACATGTATTACACTTCATGTTAAGCACTAAACCCATGTGAGTCATTCAGCTTAAGATGTAATGAAGGTTCAATCCTCTATTTACTGAGTGCAAGATAAATTTGCTTCCTATTTGTACTCACCTATTTTTCCCTGTACAGTTATGGTAAATCACTAAATTGGATAAATAAATCTTTAAACATTTCAGTCCAGGACAGAACAAAGCTATAACATTTATCTCCAATATGTGAGTTAGTTGTGAGTTGCTTATCGAGTTCACACTCATGGTTTATATATGCTAGCTTATTCAGATTTTATTTTAAATTTTTTCAGAAACAAGTAAACTCCTTATTGAGGCTGAAGGACTTGACAAATTATGGAATAATAAGAGTGTGAAAGAGAAAAGAATTGAGCTTGAGAAAAATATAGACAAATTACGAAAAAAATATGAAAAGGTAAGGAAATCCACTTGTACAAATTGTGTTTATTTATATATACAGTAGGGCCCCACTTACATGACAGATTAGGTTCTAGGTTACTGCCAGAAACCAGAATGTCATTTTTTCCACACATAAATGACATATATGCCAGCTAACAAGTTTACACTAACATATTAAGTTAACAATAGAACTAGGCATTAAAAACAATAAAAAGTAAAATACACACACTTACTTTAAAATATTTGTAGTCTTAATGTAGGATGGGAGGCGAGTAGTATTTATTGTAAGAGGTCAGGTGTGGTAGGTATGGCCACCCCACCCACACGTAATATACAGCCTCTACTCATTTAGCGACATACATGTACTTGTTTACTGATTACTTGAACTTACAACAGGCTCTCTGACCAGTATGCATACCTATGTGATGTACATGTATATTAGAACTGAATTCCTCTATTCTGTTTATTACAATGTACAGTACACTACTGTATAAACATTTAAAAATATACCAGAAATGTTATAAATAGTGCAAAGGTGACATTAAAACAATATCAAAGATGGATGACACAAACACACTACCATTATAGTATGCTCCTCACTTAGCAATGAATTCGTTTACTGACGTGGTCTTAGGAACAAAACTCCGTCTTTAAGTGAGGAGAGGCTGTACATTTAAAGTGCCCTAGAGCAATAAAATACATACATGGTACACTCATTACTTACCGTAAAATATCTGTAGTCTTAATGTAGGGTGAGAGGTGAGCAAACGAGATAAAACAAATAAACAAGAGAGAGAATGAGTAAATGGAGAGGACAGGGATGAGAGCATGTAAACAAGCAGTGAATGATCGGGGTTAGGGTTTCATAATGTTCAATTCCTTTGTCTGTAAAGCTATCCCAAAATACAAAACCTCACTCGATACAAGTACAGTCTCCAATTTGGTAGAAAAAAAATTTAAAAAAAGGCAACATTTCCTTCTCATGTAAATCTTTTTTAAAGAATGACATCTGGTGAAGGCATTGCGGAAATAATTTTCTACGGTTGGGGAGGTTGGAATCCTAATCTGGCATCTTGGGAGTGTAGTGTCCCGGGAAATTACAGTGTGGTTGGTTAGAATACATTTAAAGTAACCTAAAATTGAGACTTTTTCTCTACATCTTCTCATTTTTCACTGCTTTCTCCCCAATGGTTTGTGCTGTGGATTTACACCATTGCTCAATTTCTGGTTAGTTAATGATAAAAATTTGAGTCTTTAAATGACAAAATTTGAAATTATGTTTGCCAAATTTTTGTCCCGGTTTTACTGGTGGAACGGATAATGATTCCGGATTGGATGGCCAAACCCTGTATTTTGTGTATGCATTTTTTTGGTGTTGAACTATAGAAAAATTATTCTTTCCGCATGAAAGATGACTGGAAAAAACATCTCATTTTTATTTTTTTTTTATTCTATGTGGGGTGTATTTATTTGTTTATATGTTACATACCATATTTTTTATATAATTTTGAAAAAAAATAGATGAATTATTAAAATTTCTAATTAAAATTTTTTTTGCAAAATGTTTCCTTTTTAAATATGGATCTTAAAGATTAAAAAGCACTCTTAGGTTTTTAAAGTGACCTGCATGCCAGCACGTTGTAATTTTTTACTTAGGTACAGGTACACAAAAGCATAATTTCAGAGTATACACCTACCATTGCTTTGACCTGTGACAATGTCCACTCGCTTCGACCGTGCATCTGGCAGCTGGGCTTGGGCGGTTTGTACAACCCGCTGTAAAATTTTTTGACAATACTCGCGCGGCAATGCGTCTGCAGGCAGCATCAGTTTGAGTAACCCCTGTCTATCAGCAGATATACTTTTTAAACTGTACAAACTGGACAGTAATTTCACCAGGGCCCCCTAAAAATGAAGTTAAATCTTGCACGGAGATTGTGGCAAGAAAGGCTCTTACTCTCGAACTCTCTATTTGTTTTCATTTTGACTAAACCTGCCTGTACCCTCGTGTGTCTGTTTTTCTGTCTATCTGTGTGTCTGTCTTTCTGTTGTGTATCTATGTCACCTGTATGTCTGTCTTTATGTCTACCTGGTCTTTCTCCCTGTGTGTCTGTCTTTATGTCTCCTGTGTGTCTGTCTTTTGTCTGTTTGTCTGCTCAGACCCCATAAGAGTGTAATTGGTTTTGAAGACACCATTTAATAATGTAAAAATCACGAGAGCATTGAATGTATTAAAATTTAATTAGACATTTTGCTTAATCCATCTATGTTTTTTTTTTTTCAAAATTATATAATAAAAATGCTACTTAACTATAAAAATATAAATTAATATGAGATGTTTTTTGGTCGGCTTGACAGAGTGAAAAAACCTTTGTGTCCAGGCTGGGTAACAAAAACAAAACGTTTGTTACATAACTCGTAAACTTCTACACTCTTTCTCTCTCTCTTTTATTCTTTAATCTTGTTTACTCCCCTCTATTACATTAAGACTACAGTTTTTAAAGGTAAGTTTTGGGCCGATTATTATATTTATTTTAATTTATTTTATTTTTTTAGAGTACATATCTTTTTTGAAATAAAAATAATAATATTATTAACTTATTTTTTAAATTTAGGGCACTAAAGCAAGACCCCACTGTATGCACTTTGTCGGGATTTTTTGGGGGTTATTAAAATTTTTACTTGTTGATAATTTTCTTTTGTACCTGTGAGAGGAGAGAGGAGAGGAGTGAGGAGGTGAGGTGTGAGAGTTTTTAAAGGGGGTTTGTTTGGGGTGCTGCAAGGGGTGGTTAAAATGATAGTTTCGGAGGCTTCTTTTTTTTATTGTTAAGTCGGGGTGGGTAAAAGGTTGTGTGTTTGTCCCCATGGCCGGGGGGGCCCCATCCCGAGAGAGAGCTGGGGTACTTGTGTCTTCTCTAGGCGCATTGATAGAGCGAGGCGGGGCAGACAGGCTGAAGTAAAAAACCTTAGGTGGCAGCCGATGGCGAAAAATATGAACTAAGCTGGCAGACAGTAGGCTGTCTGTGCAGACAGTACAGGCTGTCGTGCAGACAGTACAGGCTGTTACAATGCTCGGCCATCTACCGCGGTCGTCCCGCGAACGATCTGGTGGTAAAAAGGAATCGGTCTCTTCTTGTGGGAAACAGGGCATGAACAAAAATAAAACATTTAGATTAACATGGAAAAAAAATTTCCACAGGGAGGGAAGAAAAAAACGTGGGGTGTGCAAAACTCGTAGTCAAAGGCGTGAGCTCGAAGTGATCACTGCAACCCCTTCCTGCGTCGGGACAGACTGAACAGGAGACATTGCGCGGCTGAGCTGTTTTTGAAACAGGTTGGGGGTCTCTTGGAACGGTAAAGCAGTCTCGTAGGGGCGTAAGGTTTCCTAAACCGGAGCCGACATGTGGTCCCCTTGGTGGGGGCCGTTGACAAAATCGGCAATGGGCAGGATTCTGGCAAGCGATCAGGAGGACACTTCTCGATGATACTGTCGCGGGCTGTCATGCGGCGAGCGTGGAGTGATTTTTGGGAGCGAGGTGGCAGAGAGAGGGGCGAAAACATCTGGGAGTGTAACATATACACCAGCTGCAGTGAGGAGTAGCGTCAAAGGGGCATCTTTGGAAGGTGCTAACTGAAGCTTGGACAGAGGCTGCACGCCCCTGCGAAGTGGTAATGCGGCTTGGGGTATCTTTCTCTCGCGTTGGGTTATGCAGAGGTTTTTAAAGTGTCCCGACTTTTTTTCTCTACTATAATGCATATGAAGGTCTGGGGTGAAGTAAAACAAATCTCGAGGGGAAGTAGCAGGTACGATTCGCAAAATCCGGCGACGGCAAAAAGCTTTCTGTACAAGGGCTCGGTCACTCGGGGCTGAGTAATCAGCTGTCAAACGCGTGGTCCCGGGTGACTTAGCACAGGGTGCTACTCGGGTCTGGCTCAGCCCTCACTGGAACACGGGAAACTTTAAAAAACCCCCGCGGTAAAGCGGTACAACTGGTTTAAAAACAGCAAAATGATGCTTTTTTTGCAAAAAACTGCAAAGACATTACAAAAATGTGAAAAACCTGAGGGAATTAATTAACACACGACAATATTTTCTCAATTTTCTCGAAAATATGAAATAATTTACGGAACACTCGATGGTGCATAAAGTGAGTCGGGCAGATGACGTCGAGACATTCGAGGGGGACTCGGAGCAGTGAGGTGATGTCACAGACATGTGATGTCATGAAGTCGGCCAGATCGTGGGTGCGTCGATGTGATGCGGCAGCAGCCCACAGCAGGGGGCCTGGGACATCTGGTAACTCCGTGGGGGAGATAACGTGACATGCCCCCCCCCCAAAACGTGGTGTCATGATCTCGTGGCACGCTGACCCACGTAGTTCGAGTGGCCTGGGGCACTCAGATACACGCTCTGGCAATAAATCACACAAAAAACGCGGGAAAAAACCCAGAGGGGAGTGGGCAGGGGTGGTGATGGTAGAGGGTGAGCGTGAGTGGGGGGGGCATGAGCAAGGGAGGAACACCCACTTCCTCCCCTCCTCCCCCACCCAAACCGTGGAGAAGTCACACTGGAGCAGAAATCACCAAAAAACTCACCTTGTCTTGCTGAAACAGCTGTGCTGAGTAACAAAAACCCGCAAACATACAAGTGAGCTGAACCGTGATGGGAAACAGCGTGGGATGCTGGGCGTGGGGTCATTAAAATTTCCTCGGGAATTTGGGAAAAATTTCGGCTGGATCCTGTTTTGTACCTGTGTCTGGATGCTGAAAGTGGACACGACTTGGGAAAATCGTTGAGAGAGGATGTTGTTTGTGGGAGATGAAGGAAGATGACTTCAACCCTTTCCCTTCTCCTCCGGGCAACAATGCTGCGACCACGTTTCCCCTTTATACGGGTTTGTTTGGTAGTTTTTGGAGGGGGGAAAATGAAATTCTTTTCGGGGCTTCTTTCTTTATTTTTTAAGTGTGGTGGGTACACAGGTTTTGGGTGTTTTTTGTCCCCAGGGCCCGGGCGGG